TTAGTTTATTATCAATGTCCATACCAAACATATCTATTGATTCTTTTACGGCTGGAAAAGAGAAGCAATAATCAGTTTTGCCAAGAATTAGTGCTTGATGCTTGGTCTCATTTACAATCATTCCATTATTATGATACTACTGATTTGCAACTTCGATTTCATCACATACACATTTTTCTAAAGCTACAGGATCAATATCAGACCAAGGTGTGCACATGTCAATTACCTTGAATAGCCAAATTCACGGTTCTAGTTATGGCTCACCAACAACAGACAATGCCTGTGGTTGCTCTATGCTTTGGAACCAAATACAAAGCGAGCATACACTGATATTGCGCACTGACATTAAAACATTACGTTATTTCAGCAACTCTTAGGGGTATTTAAAACCATTTTACAGTAACACCAAATCCATCAAAACATTAAAACATCCGACGGATCAGTTTTGCCAATTTCAACAACTACAGTAGATTTTACAAACTTTCTTACGATGTAAATATAGTAAGAAATTATATCTGTTGTAAGCAGTAACACAGACCTTATTTTATGAACCTATACACAGCCTTATATAAATAATGAAGTCGCGTTCATTTTATCTAGCCGTGTTTTTCCATTTTTGGCCGTGATAATAAACACGGTCCTCTAACTAAGACCCTGATATACAACCAAAGAACAGAAACATACCTCCCACATGTACGAAGAGTCCATGCCGTTGATATTATCTATATTAATATTTTTGCCAGTGTATGGCCCAAAACGTGTGTTAATCTTTACATTTTCCTTTGTGAAGACTCCTTTCCCCGCACAAGGAATTGACGATTTTTTAACATGCAAGTTGGCGGGGAGTGTCTTTTCTGCATACTTTTTTCCCCACCTTGTATTCGGTGCAGTGTCAGTGATAATTGCCAAAGCGTGTCTTTTCGCATTTTGGATTGTTCACTGGTGCGCCACAGCGATCACAACCTGTTAATTAAATTAGAAAATTAAAAGAGAAACGTTTTTTTAAAAGTTATCGAAAATGACCTGATAACAATTAGCTTGTGTGAAAGTTTTTATTACTGTTTGGGTTATTTTATCACTTGAGAGTATCTTGAAAACTATGAAGAACGACCTTAACAACGTCTTACACCTCATTTCATTCCCAGGTTATCGGGCATTTTGTATTTTTCTGTTATGACATCAATGGTTGTGCTTAAAATGGCTGCATATCTCAGAAATGATTTAACAAAATTAAATGAAATTTGGTAGAGTTGTCAGTGCACCTAAGCAAACGTTTTAGAATGCTTATGTGGTGGTCATAGCTAATTAGGTGCACTTACTAACTGGACCAAATTTCATTTAATTTTGTTCCATCACTTCTGATATGTTGACTTTCTTCTTTTTTGCTGCCATCTTAAGCACAACCTGTGACGTCATAACGCAAAATAGAAAACGCTCCGGAACAAAACTAAAGCCATTCTTCATAATTTTCAAAGCATAAAAAATGGATTAAAAATTTCCCTGTGTAACATCATGCATGTTTCGGCATCCTACGCCTCATCAGTGCAGCTTCCTCTCCAAAGTGCATGTGGTACAACACAGGCCATCAGCGTATCCAGATATATACACAATGCATTATTTGGAGACTGTATTGAGTATCCCACTTGAACCACCCCCAAGCCCTCGACATTTACGCCCCTGATTTCCACATGTGATGTGCATGCAGATCGGGTGTCCCAAAAAAACTTGCGCTGTTTGATTCAATGTAACGTTAAAACTATAAAAGGTATTGCACTCAAATAAGTTGTATTGTATTAAAAAAGCACTAATTTATTAGATTTTGATATATAAATGTCTGTGCAACATTGACTGAGCTATCAATGTTTAAGCATATTTGACAAATTTGCATAAAATTGCCAATCAAATATTGGGTGTTTCGAAAACGACGACCTACGAAAACGACTAAACCGAAGACCTAAGATGGGTCTTTGGCGTTTGTAATTACGAAAACGAACACCCGTCTTCGTACTATGAAAACCATAAAATATATTCATTTATACGTTGTTTTCATGCAAATAAGCATAACAGTGTTGCGAAAAATTTCTGATAAATTGTGACAAAAACTAAGGAAAATACGGTTTAGCAATAAAAATAGAATCATAGAAATCTGAACCAGTAAACCACCCATGTATTTAGTCAAAGGCAAACATCAGACTAAGATTTAAATAACTTTAAAATGTAAAATGTTAACAACAGAATTACAATTGCGAAATGTACAATATGTTAACAAAACTTTACAGTAACAATATATTCCACATGCATATATGCATTTGCTGTACTATATTGTCAATGTCTTGTCAATGTCTGGGCAAATCACTTTGAATCAGTAATACCACGGTCAATAGAACCACAGAGTAAGTACACACAGAGATCTCAGTGATTCAGGTTAATTTAGCATAAGGGATTCTTTCAGTACGCTATGTTCTTAAGAAGTGCCCTAACGAGAAGTAGTCAAGTCCCCCTGAAAACATATTGAAATTTAATCTTCCAGGGCCTTTCTTTAGGACAACCTCGTCCCTGGTAAATGCTGGTCACGCGTGACAGGCAAGTACTCCAAGATTCTTGGAGTATTAGCCTGTGAGCGGGCTTTATGGAAATAAAGACAGAGGGCGACGAAAAGTTCACGAATAGAACTTGAATTGCCGCGGATTATTTATGTTCTTTTATTTTTTGTTGTAATCTTTCTTTTTAACATGTTACGTTTATATATACATCGAATGTACATCAATCTTCTTTTATATCGCATCATATAAATCGCCGAGGAGGTGATGTTTCGAATTTCGAAGGAAAATGGAGCCAACCTCGTACATACTATTAAAATTTGTGATGATTTCCATCAAGTAAAAGGTACAGTATAGACCTTATTCATAAATCGTGATCGAGGCCTCGTATCCTAGGAAACGGGGAAAACGCGGGAAAATTGACAAAATGTTTTTTTTGCTGTCGGCTATGGCAGCTTTTTATCGTCAATATTACGGCTTTTTTCGAAAATAATATCTATAAAACTGAGTTTGAAAGTTGAAAAAAATACTTATGAGAAATATAACATGATATTTAAAGCAAAAGATGCTGGAGTCAATTGAAAAAGGAAACCTTTGACTTTGTATCATTGTCGTAGTTTGTATGGCCAAAACAAACAACCAACAAGGCTACAAAACGTCTATACAATACCAAAATCGTAAGAAATATGAAACTATTGTTGAAGAAATAAGATTACATCTCACTCAGGTAATGTAGCCTTCATTTTTTAAACTTGTAAGCTGCTTACAGAATGTTATCGAGCCACAGTTCATATTTTCCCGTACGAATCAATGACATTTGACGTTCTCTTGTGATTTTTGACCTGTTGTTTTCTTTCATATTAATGTCAAATTCGAAAAATTATACTTTCATTCCATAGTTGTCTTGATTTTTCACGGAATAACCTTTATATTGACGTTAAAATCTCAGTAAAATGCTGTTTTTCGCTTCTGGATAAACACTGTCGCTACGTTGTCATTTTTTCCACAAAAAAAAACGGGAGAAAAACTGGTCGCTTTTATAATATACTCGTTTCCCGCTTTCGTTGTGGGCACAAAGTCTTAAAATACACACAAAAATCGTTATAAATCGCAAAAAGCAACAAGAAACAAGCCGTTGAAGTACTATTTAAAAAACGAGCAGGAGTGTTTTATTAGGTTTAAAGCCATGAGCGCGCAGCGCGAGTGGCTTTAGACCTAATAAAACACGACCCACGAGTTTTTTAAATGACTTCAAAAACGTATGCAAAATAAGTCAAATCTTTATATAAAAATCTTTATATAAATATCTTTATATAAAAACCTTTATATAGTTTGCATAACAATGGTCTTTGTTAAAGTGTTCTTTAGCTGGTATAAAGACGTATGCACGTGACTAATTTCTTACTCAAGATTGGATAATTGCTTCATGAATTATTAATGAGTTTTTGAAGTCGATATATAGCATCTGAATTTGGCTTGTCAAGCAGTTTTCGCTTGTTTTCCCGCGTTTTTTTCCCCGTATCCCAGGATACGAGGCCTCGTCACGATTTATGAATAAGGTCTATGAATTATAAAATGTTTAGAAGTATTTTATTGTTACAAATTATTTAGCAGATTCCCATTATTTGTTACACTGACTAGCTCTATGAAATATATATTTCGAAGGCTATTTAATATATTTTATACAGTATGTTAATATAGTTTATAGCTGAATTGAGAAACACATGGCCAGACTATCACCTATATTAAATACTATACTCAGACTCTCAGTAAAGTTCTACTCTCACATGATTATTATTTAAAATATTGATTTATCACTGCGAGAAACGTGTATTTAATGACCTGAAATTATTTAAATGAGCCATTACTGTAATAACACAGTGGCCAGGTTGACAAAGCTAAAATCTGATCAACCTAACCTGCTAGGATATTTCAATAGTCAAACATCAGTTTCAGCATTTATTCAGCATTATTTAATGTTAGTGAGTTGATGGGTATTTTTAATATCCATGACAACTACAGCTGGTCAGGGATTTGTTAGGGAAAAGGTTTAGCACCCCATCGTAAAACCTGCCCCCGAATCTCATAATTTTATTTTGTTCTCTTGCCCCTACATTTATACCTTTTGTGCCCTTGAGATCTTTAAAAAAAGTGCCTAACTCTGCAGCCATAATTATTTTCTGAAGGCTTCAATAAATTTCTACTCTAACACCTTGTAATATCCAAGCTTTATTAACTAAGTTGTTTTTCAAGTACAATAATATCAAGCTCGCCATGCTCTGCTCGCCATGCGGTCTAGCTTCTGTCCTTGCAAAGCATTGTTGTCTATATACAGTATGTGACGTTGACATCATCATCACACTCCTCCCTACCTTTGCATTTAATACTTTCTAACTTCAGAACATACAAAACTATAGCTCAAATTTTTTTTTAATAGTACCCTGGACCTTATTTACCAGTTCATAAGTTAATGACTGAGAATTGCCGAGTATCCCTTGTAGGGTTACTTCTTGCATCCTCTTCGTTTTCTTGATCCTGTTCGTTTCTTACTATCTCATCCTCTTCTTCATCTGACAGTTGATCATCAAGATGGTATTGTCGCTCTTTTTCACCAAGGTTAAGACGCTTGAAATAGGATATGTTTCTGGTAATTTGACGAGAGTGTCGTTGGGCTGTAACTGTGGCACCGTGGACTTTGATCACTTTGTAGGGGGCTGGATTGAATTTTGTTGAAAACTTGTTCCTCTTTTGTTGTTTATATATAACCAAATCACCAACGTTAATCAGAGTCTTCTTTGTGTGCCTCGCCTGATCAGTATACCTTTTCATTTGACCTTTGGAATTGTGATCATTCTCTTTTGCCATGATATGCTTGTCGATTGGTTTTGATGAAGTGTATTGTTGTGGTAACTTGGTGCGAATTGTTCTGTTAAACAGGAGTTCGGCTGGGGCAACTTTTGTGGTGCTGTGGGGAGTCGCTCGATAGTTCAGGAGGAAGGTGAATAATTCTTTTTTCCAATTTCGGCCCTGTGTTCGAGCTGTTAGAATGGACTTAAGCAATGGTTTCATGAATAACTCCGCTTCTGAGTTGCCCTGTGGCCATAAAGGGGTGACTGTTACAAACTCAATGCCATGGATCTCCATGTATCACCTGATTTCCTGTCTGTTGAATGGAGGACCATTGTCTGATACAACTTTGTATGGAATTCCATGCGTTGAGAGTATTCTGTCCAGCTTCAGGATAAGTGCTGCTGCTGATGTTGAATGTACAATTTTGACTTCTGGGTACCGGGAATATGCATCACCACCGACACATTGGTTGGATGGGGAGCATTGACGATAGCTTCTATTTTCTTTGGGTCCGGACTGACTCCATCTGCAGAGAAAATCATACCAAAGAACTCCAATGTACTCTTGTTATAAGCACATTTCGATTTGTTGAGGGTGAGGCCGACTTGTGGCAATAATTCAAATACAGTTTTAAGGGCTGTGTCATGATCAATCTGTGTTTTAAAGAATATGAGTATGTCGTCACTGATGTTGACAACTCCGTCAATGCCAGCAATGGCTTGGCTGATAGCATATTGGAAAACTTCTGAGGCTGCTGATGTGCCATAGTTAAGTTGGACATAGCAGTGCAGTCCTTTATGGGTACGAAAGGTCGTAATGTAACGAGACTCAGGAGCTAAGAGAATTTGGTGGTATCCGTGGCGAAGATCGAGTTTTGAGAAGACTTTTGCGCCATTTAGCTTGTGGATAAGTTTGTCAGCAGTAGGCATGGGATGGCGCTCACGAATTATCGCTGTATTGGGCATACGCATGTCAACACATATTCTTGTTTCTTCTGGGTTCTTCGGTTTTGGTACTACAACTAGGGGCGAGACCCAAGGAGTTGGGCCAGAACAGGGCTTGATGATACCTTGCTTTGTTAACTTGTCCAGTTCGTGAGTTACTTTCTCCCAGATGTGAAATGGTATACGCCTTTCTGGTTGCGCAACTGGCTTGACGTTAGGGTTTATGTGTAGCTTAAGTTTGAAGTTTTTCAGGCACCCAATTCCTCTGAATAAGTCCTCGTACTCATTTGTCAGACTTTGAATGAATTCAGTGGCTTCTGCCTCAGGTGTGAATTCGTTTGGCACTTTCACAGTTGTGTTTACTTTTGTAGTTGTGTTTACTTCCGGTTTGTCTTTGCTTACGTTATGTATGTTCAATGTTATTAACCCGAGTTCTGCTGCAGTTTCTGAGCAAAGTAAGTTGCCATTGTCCCCTTTTGCAACGTGGAATTTGGCGGTTGTCATCTTTGTTTACGACTCGATGATTTCTTCGAATACTCCCAGCATAGGAAGCGGCGATTGTGCAGCATACACATATATTCATGCTTTTGAACAATGTATTTTAATAGGTTTTTGTTTACATAAGTGTTGAAATGTCGACTTGTCTATAATGTTGATAGATGCCCTGGTGTCGATGAGTGCTCGAAAATTCGTCCGATTGATCTTTAATTTGGCAGTCAAATTGTCCTTGGACGTAACTGCTGAGCTTGTGTTCACTGTGTAGATGTATTCATCTTCCGAGGATGAGTTGCTTTCATTGTCAGTGTGCTGTCTATTAACAGTGTTAATTGAAGAGTTGTTGAATTGGCGTGATGAGCGAGGCTGTCGAGGAAATTTATGTTGATCTCGATTTTGACTACTTTTGCAAAATGATTCATCTTATGACAAAACGAGCATTCTTTGCCATAAGCTGGGCAGCTATTGTCCTTGTGGGGATAGTCTAACCCGCAATAATAACACTTGCGTTTCAGTGTTTCCTGACGAGCGAACGGCGGTTGTTGGCGTTGTTGATGTTGAATGACATTCACACTATCGTCGATTTCAGTAGGGAGTTTTTCGTCAATCTTGACAGCTGCAAGGGATTTCTCGATGCCTTTAGCTTGTTTTTCACTTACTTCGAAGGAACGACCTTCAGCAAGTAAGGCACTCAGAGTAAGCATTGAATCACAAAGCGCTTCTCTCCGAAGATGCGTAGAAACGCAGCTTTGTATTATTTGTGTTTTAATTTCTCGATCAACATCGGTAAACTCGCATGTTGTAGCAAGCTTTCGAAGGCGCGTGTGGTACTGATCCAATGTTTCGTCAATCATTTGTCGGGGTTGGCAAAATATATAAATCTCGTACTCGAGGTTTTTCTTTGGCATGAAATATTCTGTCAGTTTTTCAACTGCTGTTTTGAAGTCATCGTCACCTCCAGTATTAGCTAGCATTTCAAATATTGCTTGTACTTGGGGCCCAGCCATGTATAGAAGAAGGGCTCGTTGTTGTGTTTTATCGGTGATTTTTCCCGCTCAAAGATAAAGGTGAAATCGTTTAAGCCACTGTTCCCACCGTGTCGCTAAACTGCTGTAATCTACATGAGGACCAAACTGTGGCATCGAGGGAAGGTCTACTCTTGCAGCCATAGTAAACAATATTTAAAATCCTCATTGCCAAATGTAATATCCAAGCTTTATTAACTACAAGTTGTTTTTCAAGTACAATAATATCAAGCTCACCATGCTCTGCTCGCCATGTGGTCTAGCTTCTGTCCTCGCAAAGCATTGTTGTCTATATACAGTATGTGACGTTGACGTCATCATCACACACCTGACAGAGATCAAGGGCGTCAATCCATCCCAAAAAGTGAGGGGGACGGACTCCAAATTAGGAAGGTCCGGAGGTATGCTACCCGAAATTTTTTAAAATTTTGGTACACTGAAATGGCATTTCCAGCGTTTTGGAGAAACTTGTAAAGTTATAGTATAATGTGCATGATGTAGTCTTAAATCTTAATTTTATAGTCGTTAAATTAGTAAATTACGATTGTGTCCATTACTCATTAGCTCAATAATTGATGTATAATTGTTTAAAATATATTATCACTTTCTTTACTGTAAATATACATATATAGTATGTTCCACTTCGAATATATATAATGAAGTTAATGTGCATGCTAATATTTTATGTTATATATACTTTTATCCTTGCTCAATATAATAATTCGAACTGACTAAATATAAGAATGAAATAATGTAAGGGGTCTTAATTAAAAAGCCTATTAGGTTTCTATAAGGCCCCTAGCCTATCCAAAATAGAAAAACAAAATGTAAATAACTTCTAAATGCTTTTTATGGGTGTAATAATAACGAATATAATAGTGCCTAATACGACAAATAGTGCCTTTATGTAAATGTTTATAAAATTACAACACATGTATAAATTTGAATTCAATTTGAATATTTTTTAGTATTCACATAACATATGCGATGTCAATATTTGCTCTCAGCGGCTACAGAATGGTCATACATTGTACTTTATCTTATTAAATGTCTTGGTTCCAACCACAAGTCCGGATGAATAGCATACCAGGGATTAGGTTTTTAGATGACCAAGAAACAAAATTTCATTAAACATTAAAAAGTGGGGGAGGGATAATTAGATATTCGTCCCCCACTCCAGAAACAACTGGGGGGATGCGTCCCCCCCCTATCCCCCCAGGATTAACGCCCATGACAGAGATGGGGGTCATATGTATGAACAAGAAGAAATGATTTCTATTAACTTTACTGAATGATTTTGAAGTTTTCTAGATTATTGAAAAGAACTTTATGGGTACAAGAAATGGGGCAAAAACAGTTGAATTAAGCAAGATGCAAGTAACAATGAACAAGACCGGGTCACTGGATGGTATTTCAGCACACTGGTGGACATGCAACCTAATACCTGCAACCTGTGTCACATTTATATAGTTTTACACTGTACTGGAAAAATAATGTCAAGGAATTGGTAGAGATTCAGAATGCACACTCCATGGTTTATTTAATCACCAGCGTGCATGAATCATTTTATGTTATGAATATTTTTTAAAAATTACTCTCACTTTATAGATAATTATATATCAATTTTCAATATCATAAATGAATATATAGTTACTGTAGCTTAGATAGATAGATATTTATTTGTTTATACATACATACATGCATGCACGCACGCACATACATACATACATATGAGAATATAATAATATAAAGGGCTAGGGACCTTTGGAAATCCAGTTGGACTTTTACGTAAGGCCCCCATTTTTCAATAACCATGAATAAAGAGCAATATACTATTTACAAACAGAAATAATAGTGAGAAGACAAAAGAGATAATATAGTTCATAGTAATTTACAATATTTACATCAATCAGATACTAAATAATATAATTTTGCTTTTTTCTTAAAAGAGAGATATGAATTAGTATTTTTGATGTCTTCATTAATACTATTCCTTAGAGAGACGCCTTTGTTGAAGACAGTATATTTGCAGTAATTAGTTCTTTTGTAGCTAGCATGTAACTTGGTGGAATTACGTGTATTATAGCTGTGAAATTCATTATTTTGCTTAAAGTAATTACTATAGAAGTCTGGTAAATTTTGACAATAATTAGAACAATACATGAATATACTACATAGATAGTCATTAATTTTGTAGATGTTCAGAATTTTCAAGTCTAAAAATAATGGTTCGGATTGATCCATATAAGATTTGAAGCAAATCAATCGAACAATTTTCTTTTGGACATTCATTAACTTTTGCAATCTTGTGGGATATGTATTTCCCCAAACTAGATTTCCGTACGTGAGGTATGGATAAGCTAATGCATAGTAAATTAATTTTAAGGTGTTTCTATTCGTAAAATGTCTTAATTTTGCAATCAGACCTGTAGATTTCATAACGCTTTGGAGAACTGAGTTGATGTGGTTCTTCCAAGTTAAATTTTGGTCAATTATAACACCTAAGAACTTTATAAATAGGACTTGCTTAAGGATATCATTATTTATTTTCAATGTGACTTCCGTATTCAACAACTTATTTTTTTATTTAAAAATTACAAACTTAGTTTTAGAAGAGTTAATCGATAACTTATTTGCATTGAGCCATTTCACTACTTTGTTCATTTCATTCTGCATAGTACTAGATAAAGTTTTCAAGCACGAATCTGAATGGAAAGCATTCCTATCATCTGCATATAATACAAAAGAAAGAATATCACTACAGTTTGATGTCGTTTATATATAAAAGAAATAGCAATGGACCAAGAATTGAACCCTGTGGGACTCCTGTAGTAACATTCATTTCAATTGACCTATGATGTTTAAATTTCACAATTTGAGTCCGTCCATGCAAATAGTCCTTAAACCATTCAAGAGAAATTCCCCTGATTCCATAATGTTGTAGCTTTCTAAAAAGAATTTCAAAGTTGACTGTATCAAAAGCTTTGGAAAGGTCAAGGAAAACACCCATTGTGTATTTTCCTTCATCCATTGCATTAGAAATTTTATTGGTTAGTTCTAGAATGGCATGTTCAGTAGATCTATTTCTGCGAAATCCATATTGATGTTTAGTTAGTATTTTTTGTTTTTCGACATAATTATATAGTCGTTTATACATAAGTTTCTCAAGTAATTTTGAAAAACAAGTCAAAACCGAAATCGGTCTATAGTTCTCAAAAAGATTACTCTCATTCGCTTTAAAAATAGGTGTAACCAAGGCAATTTTTAGAAATTTTGGAATCTTCCCTGTAAGGAAGGTTAAATTATAGACGTAAGTTAGAGGTTTAAGTATTTCAGAGTTTATTGCTTTTATCATTTTTGCATTTATTTCATCGTGGCCTGCACTTTTATTTTCATTTAAATTAATAATTTCATTTAGGAATTCATTTTCGGTTACAGGCTCAATAAACATACTTTCAACATAATTGCCCTTAAGGTAGCTTTCAAATGATGTGTTGCTGTCCTTAGGATTCTTTTAGCTAGTTGTGGTCCGACACTTACAAAGTATTCATTAAATTTGTTTGCAATATCAACCAGGTTTGTAACATTGATGTTTGAATTCTTAAGTAAAAACGCGTCAGGCATTTTTGTTTTATTTCTATGAAGTAGTTCATTGATTGTTCGCCATGTCATTTTTATGTCATTTTTGTGTTTTATAAATTGTTTCTCATAATAGGCTTTTTTTGCTGCTTGATTAAGTGATTCAATTTGTTTTTGTATTTTTTATATTTCATTTCAATTTTGTAGGATGGCTTTTTCAATGAGTTTCTATAAAGTTGGTTTTTCTTGGATATAGATTTCAAAATACCACCTGTCATCCCGGGACTTTTTGTATGGTCAATAGCTTTTCATTTCATTTTTACTAAGGGGAAACTCTTATCAATTGCTACTTTTAAACTATTGTGAAAGTTATTATAGGATTCACATGCATCATTTGTTTGATAAGTACTTTCCCAAGAAATATTTTTGACAGAAACTAAAAACGAAGCAAGACTATCTTTGTCGACTGTTCTATTGTAGTGTGAATTATTTCATTTTTCTGAAGCTTTTGATTATACAAGTTATAATAATATATCAGCAAATAATGACTGGTCTCTCTGAAATCCATATAGAAAGGTTCAAATTTGACTTCCACTACCACTACTTTATCTGGCAGTTGCATCCGATTGTTTGATTGGATAAATGAAACTTGTCTGGTCAATAGTTAATGATAGCAATAGCAGTAGTGGAAGTCAAATCTGATCTCTCTATTATTTTTTGAAGATTTGCTCTAGTTACTTCAATTCAGGGTTGCTCATGCAACTTGGTTAGCACATCTAGCTCTTCAAGTTGGAGGTCCAATTTTTAGGATTCTGCAAATTAATTCTAGAAAACTGGCTTTGGTTTGGGCTAAGCAAAAATTATCACACTGTTTACAGATTTATCATGCTGATTTGGTTGTTTAACAGCTAAAGTCCAGGCTGCATATTTTTTGTCCATATTTTTTGTCCTTTTGGGACAGTCCGGCTTCCAAGTGTTTATGTGGGGAAATAATATTAATCCTGGCTTCTGAGTGAAGGTCTTGCCTGCTTTATGCAAGAGCAGGCTCTATACGAGATTCCAATTGCTACACAGCATGATCTCAGGGCTCTTCCTCTGAAACAATGCTTGGTTGGGATATCATCCAGCAAGTGCAAAAATGCACTACCACGGTCAAGGATCATTTGGCATGTTCATTGACTATGTTAACCCATTGAGTGGCGGCATGCACTGTCCACCTGATGAGTAAAATCGTCTGGCGTTAGACAGAGTAAACTAACAAAGTGTGGTGCATTGCCACTTAAAGGGTTAAAAACGTAAATACCACAGCAGAACACTTGTACATATACAACAGCAATCCTTTTATACATTTAATGACTTCATATTTACATATTGGTGAAATATCAATGTCCATATATTAGGCA